ATTTATCTCCAAATATCAGGACTGTCCTGATAAAACTGGGACATCTGGCCAGCCAGTAATGTAGGCCAGAGAAGATACAGCCTTCTCAAAATTGCCCACACACCCCGGTCACTGGAAAGGTTGGGGCAGCAACATGGCAGCTCAGCTCCCTGGCCGCTCAGGAGGGCTGGGACTGGGGCCAGAGCTGAGGCTACAGCACTGAAGCTCCAGACCTCCAGGTGGCCAGGAAGGATCCAGCTGGGGTGGGTAGGGCTTGGCTCCAGGGGCGGAGCCTTGGGCAAAGGGGAGGGGCTACAGGTTGCCTTCCCTGGCTGGACTTTCACTCGCTGCCTGTGACCCTACCCCTCGCTGGCCGTCTCAGCAAAGAGGCCCTGGAGACTCAGCTGCTCTGCAAGGCCCACAGATGCCTCGTCGGGGGCAGGACTGAGGCGTAGGTGGGGCACCGGGGTGTGTCTGCATGGCGGCCCTGGACAGAGGCTGTTAGCTTCCAGGGCTTTCACCCTGGCACCTGCCCTCAACACTTGTGACGCAATACGGGTATTGTTCTTCGGCACTGGAGCAGCGCTGCATTGGAGCCAGCAAAGCTGCTACGTTTCTATTCCATGCATGGAGCTGGGGGGTCCCCTCCCCCCACTCACTACCCTGATGTCTGCCCCTGCTTAGCTCCAAGCCTCCGTGCACCCCCAAATCTGTTCCTTTGTTACATGCCCCACCACCACCCGTTCTCCCCACAATTAAACTGGGACTAGGTGCAGCTAGAATAAGAAACACTGGGGCAGAGCTAAGAGCAAGCGGGGTATTTAAACAAACCAGAGAAAGACTGAGCGAAATTCTGGTCTCATTTATAAGACAGTCTGGAGTTACACCCCAGCGGCTGCAGGAGTTACTCTGGATTTACATTAGAGATCAGAATTTGACCCCAGGAACAGCTCTTCTGAGTATGGTTACCGAGCACATTGTTAGCTTGGTCTGAAACGCCTGTGAAGTGGTACAACAAATATTGGCCCCAGCCCAGAGGTAGCCGTGAGAATGCAGCTGCCCAGAGCTTGCTCAGGTTTGTTTCTCTCCCTTCTGCTGAAGGACCATCTGCCCGTGGCAATCATGTCTTAACAGCCCCAAAGAAACCTTTGTTTCCAACCCCAGCTGATGTGCAGCAACAGGGCCTTGGTCTGAAACGCCTGTGAAGTGGTACAACAAATATTGGCCCCAGCCCAGAGGTAGCCGTGAGAATGCAGCTGCCCAGAGCTTGCTCAGGTTTGTTTCTCTCCCTTCTGCTGAAGGACCATCTGCCCGTGGCAATCATGTCTTAACAGCCCCAAAGAAACCTTTGTTTCCAACCCCAGCTGATGTGCAGCAACAGGGCCAGATGTTGGCCACCAGACTCTTCACTTTGGGCAGTAGGGGCTGAGGGTAAAAATGTGAGAAAGTACAGACTATGATAGGGGGAGATGCGGCCCATAGCTGCCCCACCTCTGCCACTGCAACCTGTTCTAGCTAATCACCTTAGGGTTCAGGGCCGTCTTCACCCATACGCAGCTGCGTAGGGTGCCTGAAAATTTGGGGCACCGCTGGGTCTTAATGTCCACCCACCCGCCTCTTTCTTTTCCGGCTCTGTGGCTCTGCTTCTTCCAGAGAGGACCTAGGTAACTTATAAATGACAGCCTGCCAGAGCGATTAGCAGCACGCTGAACCTGCGAAAGAGCCCTTCGAGTGGCAATGAAGCCATTTAACAGGCATTCACCAAGCTCAGGTATAGACCGTCAATTCCTGAATTGACTGTGTGAGTCGATAGGACCTTAGTTTAAAATGAGCTTTAAACGATTTCATGAGTGTGTTGCTGAAGATCATAAAATCAAATCTCTAAAAAATCTCTATCCCCCTGCTGCCATCGGGCATAAGGGTACCAGTGCGTAGAGCCCCATAAATCCTGAGGACCGTTCTGTTGGGGGGTTTTACCCCCCGCCATAGCATCTGAGCACCTTCCACAGAAAAGGAAACCAGGCACAGAGCTGTCCTGTGCATCGGATGTTTTAGGGTGGCCGCTCCACGCCCCACACTTTGGCGTGTCCCATGGAGGCCATCTCAACTCTTCTATGGATGGGAGGGACCGGGGGGATTATGGAGTCTGGCATGGGGTGGCAGCCAGGGTTACCCCTCCATACACAAACTCACCATGGCAACAGCATCCAGAGCAGCCTAGCAGCCTGCTCCGCTATGCCCGGCCGTGCCCCCCTCTCCCAGCCAGTGGCTCTCCAATTCTCCGCAGCAGCAGACAGCAGAGCGCCCTGGCCCTAGGGTGCTCCACTTCCCACTGCCGTGGAGAAGCGAGGCAGAGCAGGCTGGGAGAGTGGCATGGCGGATTGCAGCCACTGACAAGGAGGTGGCAAGAGGGTAGAGCGGGGGCAAGTCTTGGAGAAGGGTGGAGCAGGGTGCGGCAGAGGCAGGGTGGGGGGCAGGGTCTGTGGCAGGGGAGTTGCCCTGGACCCCATGCCTGGGGCACTCGGGAGCGGGGTT